CTTTAGCTTCTCAGTGCTGTGCTTTAACCCGCTGCGCCACAAGGGAGGGCCTATACCTAAGTAATTTTAATCTTATAGTGTTTTGGTCAAAGTCACTTCTTTAGGAAGTTTAAGAAACAACAACCAGACCTCCTGATGGTACAAGGGGTTAAGTCTCAGCACTATGAGCTATCTGCAGTTCCTGGCTAGAGGTGACCACCTGGTGTAGCAGACCTCTCCTGTCTCACCTCCTGCTCCCCTCAGCAGTGTATTTCAGTAATTCTGCCTATTCTGCTCCCCACTCTGTCTGTGGTGAATCCTTTGAACTCCACCTGCACACCCCCACCCCCCCACCACTGCACCTCTGGCCTGTAACCCAGTTCTTGTATGCATAAATAAGTAAATAAATCTTAACAAAACAAAACAAAACAAAAAAGAAACAACAACCATATTTTGAGTCACTCTCACATTCCCAGAATTGCTGAACCTGCTGATCAAGATTGTAACTCTAGGTAAGGATAGAGAGGGAATGACATAAAGGGATGACTAAATGTCACTTGTTTGTCCTGCAAGGCACACTCTCTCAAGTCATGTATTATCAGTTTTGTGTTATATCTGTGAGGTTGGTCCTCTTCCCATTTTATAAAATGGGAAGGGGTTAAAGACTCAGCTCTATTAAGCTATCACCAGCCATAGTGGCACTAGTTCAAACCCTGGCCAGGCAGCTGACCCAAATGGCACAGCAGACCTCTCCTGTCTTGCCCACTGCTCCCCTCCACAGTGTATTTCAGTTGGCCTACCTGTTTTGCTCCCTACTCTGGTGAATCCTCTCACTGTGGCACCTGTTGCCTACATCCTAGCTCTTGTATACATAAATAAATAAAAATAAATCTCAAGAAAAAAAGTACCAAAAATGCCTTAAAAATGGAGAAAAAGTGCTTACCATTAATTCAATTTTCTGGCTCATTTCTGTGAAACTTTTCGAAGCTTCTTTTCCATATTCATCATACAACTGGTCACTTGTGAATGACAGTGTGCTATAGTAATTGTATGTCTTCCTTTGATCTACAAGGAAAAAGGCAAACCTATCGTAATGTTTTACCAAGTGTGTGTAAAGGATCATTTCCCCAATTTGGTGATAGCTAGAAAGACTAACAGGAAATGATATCTCTACTCCAGGCCATCAGCTCCATTATCCTGCCCTGGCCTTCATGTTTATGTAGTATAAAAGAGAGTATTCACCATGATAAGATTTAAAGTATAAAAACTATAAGAAATTATTGATATTCTGGGGCATTATCCACAGACTGTACTGAACCTGTCTAATTACTCATGTGATCCATTCCTGAATAACCTTCAGAAGGAAATAAGTCATGCCATCTGAGCAAACAAACATGGGTGGGTGTAGACGTTTCTCAAGGGTAAATTTATTTTATATTTCTGAAGTAGATTGTTCCCAATTCAGTAAACTACACATCGACTCTGGTCATGAGAATGCTAGTGTGAGAAAATTTATTTTGGCTAAATAGATTTTATTTGTGTAGGTATCTTGTTCTTCCCTTTGTTCCTACCAGCAACAGGGATTACCTTGACTCTTCCCCAGACACTGTCTCCACTTTCTGCACCCAATTGAAACAACGCACATTTTTGATCTGCTGAAGAATAAGTGTACAAATTTTTCATCTGTCCTCCTGTACATAAAGTACAGAGTCCTCAAGATCTATTCAGTGAAGTATGAAGCTGATTACATTTTTCTGTATGAAATCTGTGCTGAGCACTAGAAATACAATGTGATCGAGATGTGTATGGTTGTTGAGGAAAATAGAGTGCACCTCACCCAATTTCTGTCCCTCTTCGCTTATCCTGTCTTGCTTCTCATTCTTTCCCTATTCATTTAACCCCAGAGGAAAAGCAGTTTGCCTTGAGCACCTGTGTTATAGGCATATTCACACATCTCATTTAATTTACACTAACATTTACCCCACACCATGGAAATGCAGTATTTCTCACAAATCAAAACCACATCCTCAGAAAAGTAAGTAAACTGCCGAACTCCAATTTGGCATAGCCAAAAAGATAAATGGGCTTTCAAGCCAAATTCTAACTCTCAAAACACAAGTTTTCTTTATGTAAAGCTTCTTGGGATGTGTGTGTGTGTGTGGGGGGGAATCTCTGTTCACCGAAGATCTGGAAGAAATCTCTCATTTTATAAAAATTGTGCAAAACAAATACTGATGCATTTCAAAGATCTTCCAGAGGATTCAGTGGGAACAGTTTGGGTCAGATACTGACCAGCCTGGATTGAAAGGTCAGGATCTCCTGCACATAACTCTCCAAATAAGGGGCAAAGGAAGTTTTTCACTTGTTCACTTCCTTCTCATGATTGTCCTTACTCTGAACGACCAGGGTAATACAAAGTACACAGATGACTGGTAAAAGGCATGATTTCGAGAAGGTTCTTCCTTCATTGAAATACTGGACTATAGTTCACATTTGTTCTAAATTTGGATCCAACATTCTGCATTTCTAACAAGTTCCAAATTCTGTTAACAATGCAGTACCTAGGTCATGTTGAATAATAGGTCTTAGAAAGGAAAAGATTTATGATTCCTGTAGTAATGTTGGTCGTAACAGATTCACCTTCTGTCATTCAAATCACAGAGGGATAGACATGTAGTTCCAAAGATCTCTGGACTCAAACTGCAGGCATAGTACTATGTTGTCATGGACATTATGCCAAAATGATGTTTCCCAAACCCGATCACCTCCACCTGAAACATATTTGTTTGGTCTGGTTTGCTTATCAAGGTGTGCCAGTTTTTGAACGCTCATGTACTTATTCTTAGTCTACGTCCCCAAGTGGAGGACAGGTCACAATATGACGGTAACCCACACCACAACACTTGCTGTTTGTTCAGGTGTGCTGTGTGGGCAGTGCAACTTTGTGTTCCCTGTTACTCAGCTCATCATCCAAACAACAGCATTCAGGAAGAGGTTCCTGGCAAATCTTGCCAGGTTTGCATTGCTTGTGTATGAGTAAGATTTGTAAGTCTTGGTTTGGAAAAAGATAAAGGAGAATTCATAAAGAACATTTTCTCTCACTGAGGCAAATAAACCTCTAGAATTCCTTATGAAGTATGCCTAAGAAAATAGCACAGATACGGCTCATTCATTTTTTCCCCTTCTGTAGTCACTAACTAGTCAATTAAGTAGATGATATGTAGTCACTACCTAGTCAATTAGGTAGACTTCATTCCGTAGTCACTAGTTAATAAAATAGCTGATATGAGACAAGCACCTCCTAAATTCTGGAAATTTAAAAGTGAATAAAACATAGTCCTAGGCATCCATGGTGAAGACATTATTGGACTTGACCCATATATTACAGATTTGTCTAATTGTAATGCTATTTCCAGATTTCTCTTTGTGGTTGAAAACATGTGCTGGAGAAATTACCAAAATACAGATACCTCAAATTTAAAAACCTGTATGTGGGTAAATTCTACCAAAAGTATTTATACTACATATAATATTTCCTTAAACTTCCCACAAATGAGCTACCTTGTTTTGAAAACTGAGATTGAACTGTGTCAGCTAATGGAAGAAAATAAACACCTTTACGATCACCATTTCTGTTTACAGAAAGTAGCTTCTGCAAGTTCCAATTAAATGATAATCAGGTGATTAGCTTCTTTGGTTACAGGGTCTTAAACATCAAAGCATTATCTAATCACTAAGGGAGATATTAAACCCATAGGTCATAGTGGAGTTGATTAACCTGAGGCAGGGCAAAAGAAAACTTCAGAAGGGTTATTACACACTGTAAGAACATGACTGAGCACCCTGGGGATCTTTCTAATAACAGGTCCTTCAAAGCAGCAAGGCACCTTGATTATCGCAGTGAACCTCTTCGTAATTACTTTCTCTGCACACCCTGTCCCTTTAATCATTTGCAGTATATCCCAAGATGAGATTCAAAATAACAAACCAGACACTTATTCAACATTAGATCACTATAAGCATTTTTTCCAACTTAAACAGAATACAGCCTACTTCTCTATGATCCTTGTTTTTGCAGTTAAAACTTATTTGTCAGGATTTCAATGAGCTGGAATTATTTTCAATCAAGGTGATTGCCTTATGAACCCAAACAACTCAAGATGTTGGACTCCTCTGGCTTTCCTCTACTTAAGACTTGATTATCCGTAAAAAGAAAAGGAAAAAAAAAAAAAAGCATTCTCTTCCCAGCAGGAGCATTACTACATCAAAGACAAAATCAAGAATTCTCCTTGTCAAAATAAGAGACAAGGCAGGCAAAAATTCTTGGAACCATTCATGCAAATGAATTACAGTAATGAATGATAATCCTGAGGCAAATCCAAACAGGACCGTACAGGTGGAAATACTGGGGCTAAATCTCAGGATGTCAGTACATCCCATACTCACTGTATCTCACATAATGGACAATGAGCCCAATGCACACTGCCAGCACAATCAGGGAGATAAAGGTGATGAGGCCGATAACCCAGGGCTCCAAGCAGGCTCTCTTTCTGACTTTCACAATTGGCCTGAAAAAGAAAGCACTAGATAAATGACACTGCAAAGCACACTGTGCTCTTAGGAAAAGGAGATCTTTCCGGGGAATTTGGGACACGAAGGTGGAAGATTACTGTTTTAATCCAGAACATATCACAATCCCAAGCAGTTGAAGATAATCCTAGGTTATATTATTACAGGCAAAAAGCTTTTACTCTTTTGTGGCTCAGTTTCCTTCACCATAAAGTGAAGATGGGGTCCCTCCCTGGTGGCGCTGTGGGTTAAAGCGCAGCACTACGAAGCTTAAGCCACTTCCGCATGAGTTCAATCCCCGCCTGCCCCGGAGGTGACCCACATGGTTCAGCAGACCTCTCCTGACCCGCCTGCTGCTCCCCTCAGCAGTGTACTTCCTCACTCAGCCTGTTCTGCTTCCCACTGTCTCTGGTGAATCCTCTGACCGCCTCTGCACCTCTGGCCTGTACCCCAGTTCTGTATGCATAAATAAATAAATCTTTAAAAAATAAATAAGTAAATAAAGTGAAGATGATGTAGGGCCAGGTGATACAGGTTAACGTGTTGCTCATAGGATTCATGTGAGGGCTTAATAAATTGCAATATGTGAAGTGTTACAACAGTGCCTGGCATATAGGAAGTGCTGCTAGCTGTAATTAATTCATCTGGCTGTGCAAAGACACTGAATTAGGCACTGCAAGAGCTATGAAAACATTTAAAGCTGATTTTGAACACTCTAAATGCTACAAAAGCCTATGAAGTATGCTTGAACTAGACCAAGTTCCAAATAGAGTTTCCAATTCTACTTATCTATACTTTTATATTTCTAAACCCAATTTTGAGGATACAATAAGAGATTAGATGATTCTTCTAAAGAGCCTGGTTTTTTGAGTCATTATTTACTTCTAACCTTCAGTGATAATACTGAAAAAATCCCTTTTGATGTAATTTTTTCAACCTGCCTCATTTGTTTTGCCTTCAAAACACATAGGCTAAAAAAAAAGTTGGTCAACCTGGTATTTGTTTGATAAGTAAATTTGCCTTTCCTTTGCTAAGAAAGCTCAAAAGTTTAAAACAATGAAATAAGAAGTTAGAATTGACTACAGAGTGAGTTTTTATTCAAAGTTCAGAGGTAGGTATAAAATTACTTTAAAATTCTTGAGTTAGCACATTGGTAGATTCAATGCCATGTACTCTTATCTCTATAGGTCTGCCTGGTACATGAGGATGGGTGTGGAGTGGGAGGGAAATTTTATCCTGGAAAGAAAACCGGGGTTGAAGTAGAGTAAAGAGAACTCTGGATCCAGCTGTTCTTCTCACTAACTCTGTAGTTTGGATTAATCACTTAAACTCCAAGCTGAGTTTCTTCATCTGTCAGTAAGGGACAGAATACCTGTCTGTCTAAAGCACATGATTGATTATAGGAACCCATCATCAATGTGAAAACTTCTTGCAAACTGCAATACATTTCCTAATATATAATTTTCGCTTACGGAATCAAGGAGATATTGTTTCCCAGTGGTATAGGGCCAGGAAATGATATTATCATTTGATCCCTGCCACATCATCATCACATCCTGGTTCTGACATGATGTTCTGTTCTATGGGAACATCGTTGTAGAAGTCAATAGTGTCATCATTACTTCATGACTCTACCCCTGCCTAAGGCCCTGTGATAGCAAAAGGCTCCAGGGACTCTACTTGGTCTCCTTCTATGTACCTGTGACTTTCCCATGGGGCTGTAACCAAGGGAACTTCATCTTCCTCTCTCCAATCTCTTCAATCTCCAGTTTTCCCTTGAGTGGAATTGCAAACACCTGTTCCTAGAATGGCAATTTTTGCAATATAAAAAGACTTCTCCATACGATGGTTATTTTTTTGTATGTGCTGATGTATCTAAAAACTGATTCCTCTTCTTCATCCCTGATGCTTGCTATCCACTTGTTGCAGAAGAAAGGAGATGCATATAGCAGACGTAAGCAAAACTCTGAGGGGCACGTGGGGAGGGAGGTCCTTTGACTACTGTCAAAACATTCTGACTTGTAATTTGAAGAAATATGATATAATTATCAAAAGTATATGATCATTATACAGAATTCTGAAATATCAGGTTTGTTTATTGCACAATAATTTAAGGATGACAGAAAAATAAATAATTGTAGCCATTAAATTAATGCAAAGCTTTATGTGTTAACATGCAAAAGGTCAATGACACATATTAATAACAACAAGTTGCAGAATAATTTGAATTCCATGTTCTAGTTTTTGTAAATAATAAAACCATATATTTTTGTGGATAACAAAATATATAGACACAATTGTTATCTTTAAGAACTGGAATAATAGAAATAAGAGATTTATTTTAATTTATATACTTTATATTGTAGTGGATTTTTTAAAATAAGGAACACCATGGCTTTTATAAGTGGAGTCCTCCACATTATCACGTCCAAGGTACCAGTGTGCCCTTCTCTCTTGAACCTCACATTTCATAACTATTTTAGTGATGTTCTATCTTTGGTAGTTTTGAGGTGAGAGGCATGGTAACAAAGGTAAAGAGAGAATCAACATAAAACACCTTGAATAAAAAAAGGATTTTTCAAAATACTATCACCAATTTATTTACTATATAATGTTGTGCCAACAGATTTAATTCTCTCCCTTGTTTTCTCCATATAGAAAATAGAGATAATAATTCCAGACTCCCCTAACCTGATGATCTATGTAGACATAGAAATGACTTTGTATTTCTTTGTGTGCCCAAGTAAAAGATCATTGTATAAAAATAATGACTATTATTATTATCTTCATTATTTAATTATTAATAATATGGGTAATGATCATATTACTGAGATGTTTGTCATTTGAAACATTAGCTCTTCCCAGTCTGCATGGTATTGTTTTTCAAGCTGATTCATCCTATTTCTTAATTAGTTTTTTGGTTGTTCTCTTAGTAATTCTGTACTGAATTATTCTAAGTTATACGTGGTGGAAGTGTGCTCAAAAAATTTCAAAAATGGAGGAACAAATCCATTTTACATATCAACAGGCACGTATGTAATTAACACCTTCCTGCACATAAACCCCATTAATAATTAGTGCAACCTGTTGAAACTTAGCTGAACTTCCTCATGTAAATTCACCTCAGACAGACAATTAAATTTTAATAGTTTCAATGATATCAGATTGTTTTCTTTGTATGATTTTTCTTTTCAGTTTAAGTATGCATGTGGTTAGGTTGAGAATATAGCAGATAAATATACCAAGTGAGTTTAATAGAGCAATTAAAATTTAATAGAGCATTTGAGTAAATCCTAATATTCTGAAAGATAATATCTTCAGCATTGCACTACTGATACCACTTCTTAATATGTAATCTTTAGAATAGTATTAAAAAAGCAAAGTAGCAAAACAAGAAAAAGGCAAGGGAGAAAAGGAATAAGTGTCAAACAAACTGTATAGCAAGCCCTGGAGAATTAAAAAACAGCAGTGTTTCACATAGAAGTCTACCCAAACAAGCCCCTACTTAGCATATCAACCACAGATTAATAATTAATCTCAAAATCTTGTTCATTTTCTATAATGATATTCTTAATTTGTATGTTTCACCAGCTCAGTCCTACTGAACAGTTTTGAATGAACATTGTCAATCATACCTGTAAAACTGGTGGTTCCAAACATTATCAATTATCTAAACGAAAGTTCAGCAAACTTTGCTGTAAAAATCCAACTAGATCTATATTGAACTTTCTGGGTCATATTTCTCTGTTTTAATGATTCAGTTCTGCAGTTGTGCAAAAGCAGTCATGGACAATACATAAACAAATGAATGTGGCTATGTTCCAATAACACATTCTGTGCATTGAAATTTGAATGTAGTATTGTATTTACATGTCAATTTTTCTTTTGATCTGTTTTCTACCATTTAAAAATACCTGTCTTTGCTCAAGCACCAAGCTAAAAACATGTAATGAAACCAGATTAGGCCGTTGGGTCATAGTTTACTGATGACTAACTTGGGTAATAGCCTATAAGTCAATGCTAATTGTATTAGGAAGCTATGATGAACTTTTCATTTTCTAGACTCATTTTCATGGCAACTGTGGTCTGTCTGCAGTGTCTTTGCCACTAAACTTATATTTTCACCAAGATTTGGCCTATCACTTGATAATAGATTTCTCTTCAGTCTCCCAAGTCTTGAATCATTCTCCATTGCTATGAGCTGTCTTTCTAGAAGTGATTTAACTAGCAGTTGAAACTACTTAACACCCAAGTCAGCTTCAGTTAGTTTGATGTTCACCCTATTCCCTACAAAATCTCAAACTCTTTGCACCTATTGCCTCTCCTGAGCATCTGTGCTATGCTTACATCATAAAAACCTGTGTATATTTAATAGCCAATTTAAAAAAGTACGCTCCACTTCAGTCAGGTCTCTTTGATGCTGAGTATATTGCAGTAGGCATTTGAGCTCCTGGGACAGGGTCTTGGTCTTACTTATCTCTGTATTTTCTGACCATGTATTCAAGAAATATTCAGAGGAAGCTCAACTGAACATGACTAAACCAAATTGAAGTGACCACTTGACAATGCCACGGTATGAATTTCCATCTTTCTCAAAACAATACAGTGCCTTATGACTGATAGTTTCTTAAGTCAGTGCTTAAGACTTAAAATATCACTTAATAGTATTATTTCACTTTTTTTATATGTTTGGTTTATTTCTTTAGTGCTTAGTAGAGTGTGTGCTTATCATAGCCACACAAAAACTTTAGATTTTTTTTTAATGTGTGGAAAATTCATGCCAGGTGACATTGGTAATATCTTTAATCTTTCATATTTCTAGAATAAAACTATACAAATATGTAGGGTGGAACTAAATTTTGTATATGTGTGCATTAACTGTATGTTTTTATTGCCAGGTTTTTAAGAAGAAATAGAAAACTAATTACTCTGTATAGCATTACAAATACCATATTTCTGTCCCATCTGCTAATACACAAACACATCTATAAAGTTTCTG